CCCTTTTTTTTTGTCTTTTTGAGACAGGGTCTCACTATGCAGTTCAGGCTGGCCTTGAGCTCACCTTGTAGCCTAGGCTGGTCTCAAACCCACAATGATCCTCCTGCCTCAGCCTCCCGAGTGCTGGGATTACAGGCATGCGCCACCACGCCTGGCAAAAAACATCTCATTTTCAATCACACCTCTTAACCAGTGAATTATCCTTCCTTTCAAATACTGATCTCTCTGCAGTACCCTGGATTCCTCTTCTCACACAGTCAGATCTTGGTACTCAAGTGCTCTGAAACTCATCGAATTTTGTTTGGTATTTGGTGTCCACTGCTTCACAACTCCCTACCCTCCCAGCCAAAACTATTAGTTTGGTACTCACTATACCTTCAGGAAGCAATTAACAAGCACCAAGATACCACTGTCCTCATTCATGTCCTTTTCAATGTCTCCCTAGGATCTTTCCATTCTCTCCATTTCTTTCTCTCTCTCAACAATATCACAACCACAAAATCCTCCAGTAGCCTTTCTCCTCTTCCTCTGCTTCCCTTCACAGCAAATCTTCCTAAAATGCACAACGTTCTACTTTCATGAGTGTTCACTTCTAAACACAATTACAGTATTCCACTGTTAAGCTGACTACTCCAGAAAAATCTGCCCTTTCATTATTAAATGAACACTTTCCAGTCCTTATTTTACTTTGTTTTCCTCTGCCCAACTTTTAAATGTTGCTGTTCTCCAAAGTTTATTTGTGGTTCTTTTTCTTCTAAACTTTACACTGCCTTGGGGATCAACAGCCAGTACGTTTCTATAATTTCAAATCTGAACCACTTATCTTGCATACTCCATGAGTACTGTATCTCAAATTAAACACGTTTAAAAGATTAAAAATCTCAATTTATGACCCCTTCCTCCAAACAACCAACATCACAACACACAATTCTGCTTTCCCCCCTTTATTCTTTTTCTCCCATAACCTCTAAAGCTGCCGTGAGTGGACACTTCCGAGTTACCTCTGGTTCTCCCTCAACTTCCCTTGGTCACATCAATCCCACCCTTACCACGATCTCTTAATTTGCTCTGTTCTCTTTGTCCCAGTTCCATGTGCAGCCACTCATTTTCTTTTGGCACGTTTTAGCATGTTTAGCCGCTCCATAAGGATCAAAAAACCCATTACATCATCCTTGTACTCATAACGTTTTAGTGATTCTCATTTTCCACTATCATTAAGGGGGAAAAAATCCATAACCTTAAAAAAAAAAAAATCCAGCAGCCCTTTGCCTAACTTCTGCAGTGTCTTCTTCTCTTAACCCTCTGTGTACTGAGCTGGGGATGCAGCTCAGGCAGAGTGCTGCCTACCATGCACAGGGCGATGAGTTCAATCCCAAGCACTATGCACCGGCTTGAACACTCACTCGCAGGAATCACAGGCACCACTCACACAGAAGCAGTGATCTCATTCTCAGGAATGGCTCTCACCCTTCTCCCTGCTTTCACCCGCTGCACATCCTTCAGAACTCAGACTAAGCTTCTCCCTCCCGAGAAACTCAGCCAGGCCCCTCTCTCAGCTAGAGTCAGGTGGCCACATCTGTCTCCTCAACTGTGAAATCAAGGACAGAGACTAGGTATTTCTTTCTCTGTAACCTGAGCTCTTAGACACTTTCTGGCACAGCTGAACGAACATAGCCTTAACTTCTCCTGCATGAATTGTTTATTCCAATGTTTCATACTGAGTTTTACCATAATTTGGCACACTTAATTATATGTAATTATTTGGGAGCAAAAGTTTTGTCTTTGGAAAACAAAACGAGATTAAATGAATATATTCCGTAATAGTGTTAAACCAGGCACACATCCTAATTTCATGAATGCCTTGCTGGGTATGTCATGCTTTCTGAATTACAATAAGCTGTAAAATTCCTCTAGTCATTAGGTAAACAAACCATCATTTATCATTACCTTGAGAAAACTAAAAGGTAACATAGAGTAGGAACTAAGAGAATCTACAGTACACCAACTTATACATTAATCATCTGTAGTATTTCAGTGTTCATCTCTGCAAAAATACTCAAGAAGCTTCTATTTGATACTGGACAATTTTATCACTTTTTCTTTTGGTCTCCCTAGTGCTTACATACTAAACTATAAAACTAGTGGAACTAATGTTTTCCGTTTAAGTACTACAGGTATGGTTTTCTATGTCTAAAGTGACCAGACAGATCTAAGACGTTAATCATTCAGTAGTTATGAGTGATCAGACTGAAGATTCATATTGATGAACGCTGTAAATTGGAATTAACTTTGATCAAAGTTCTAGCTGGCAGATTACTAACCAGTTTTGAATATAATTGATTAGAAGGAAAAAAAAGGCAAACTCCAGTCCTTATTGAGCAATACTAATTTCAATTTATCAAACAGAATCAACTGAAAAGTTTCAAAAGGTCACTGTCACTTAAAATATGGAAGAATTTCAAGGAGGTTGGTATGTATTGAAAAGGTATTGCCAGGGCACAATGGAATGTGCCTGTGGTTACAGATACTTGAGAGGCTGAGGCAGGACGATCACTTCAGCCATAGTTAGAGGCCAGCTTGGGCAACACAGTAACTAACAGAGTTTGATTATCAAATAACAACTAAAGGGTATCACTGATAACGGCCAAAGTCAACAGCAACGCAGTGGTGAAGGCGAGATCTGGGAGTCCTTTTCAGTTCAGACATCTATCAATCACGAATGCCTTTAAAAATACTCCCCCTCCCAATTCTGGTTTGAAAAAACATTTAAAAATTAAAAAGAATTTAAAAAATTTAAATCCAAAAACACAGCTCTAAATTACATGTTTTTCCCACATATAAAATTCGTATTATAGTAAGAAAGCTTTAGATTCACAGTACACAAATAACTAAGAAAAAGTACGCATACATCTAATGCCTTTTATCAGTTTCTCTTCTGGGCGGGGAAGAACCCGAAGTACTTTCTGCTGTTTGCAGCTGGTTTAACAACCAACGACAATTAAATGTGTGAACAGGCTGTCAGAGTAACGCTTGTCACTCACACCGCTTACGGAAAGGCGCTCCAAGACTTCCCGAAGCACTAATTAAAATCAGCGAAGCTTTGCCGAGGTCCGTGTCCCGGCGTCTGCCGAGGGTCTCCGCACCCCGTCCCCGCCGCCGCTCCGCAAGCAATTCAGAGCATCCGTTCCCGACCCTCCGAGCCCCACGGCCACGCTGCAGGCCCCCGGGGAAGGAGCGCGGAGTCCGCGGGCGAGCGGAGGCGGCGGGGTCTCGCTCCTTCCCCGGGGCAGGGACGGGGCAAGTTCCCGGGAGCGCTCGCTCGATGAGCCCGCCCACCTTCCTTCAGCCCGCGGCCAACGAAAGCTCGCGAAGTCAAAAGAGTGCGGAACGAACTTACCCACCTCCGGCCCGACAGGACCCCGGAAGACCCTCCTCACCCAAGACTCAAGGGCGGCTCTCACCTGCGCCCCGCCGTCCTTCGTCCTTACGTAGCGCGAACCTTTCAATAATAGTCTTTGCGATTGGTTGACTCGGGAAGAACGTCTCAGCTCTATTGGCTATGGGAAAGAAGGGAGGCGGGGCTTTATCACGGACTCTGATTGGCCAGCTCTTCCCATTCCCAGACTGCCTATTGGGTTCTCACGGGACGCTCCAAGATGGCGGCAGCGGCAACCTGCGGCGCTGGTGCTGGGAGTCCCGGGTCTGTGGCGGCGGCGGTCGACAGGAGCAGCGCCACCAGCTTCCAGAGGAAGGGCCCCAGAGCCGGCGGTGCCGACGGCGGAGGCCCTCGCCTAGTGTCCATTGCGGGCACCCGGCCGTCGGTGCGGAACGGACAGCTGCTGGTATCCACCGGGCTCCCCGCCCTGGACCAGCTCCTAGGTCGGTTCAGACGGAGATCCGGGTCCGCCGAGGGAGGGGGCGCGGCCTGTGCCGCTGGCCTCGCTGTGCCGGTGCCCGTGCCCGTGCCCGTGCCCGTGCCCGCTTCCGTCGGCCCCTGGGAGAGGTGAGCGGAGGCCGCGCGGGTGGAGGGCGGCGGGGCCCCGGTGCTGTGGGCTGCGCCTGTGCGCGCAGCCGGGCTCCAGCCCCGGGTCCCACCGCCTCGCCCCGGGGCCGCTGGTCGGGCACACGGCCCGGCTTCCCGCTAGGGTTCCCGGCCCGCTCCTGCCAGCCCCAGGCGGCTCACTGCTCGGCCGACCTGCGGGGCTTCTTATCACTGGGGAGAAAGGCATCGTTAGGAAGGGCAGCGGAAAGCGTTTTGCCCCTTCAGCCTCGTGCTGTTTAGCTCCTGGAATTGTAAAGCAGACCCGAGTCGGCTCTAAGAGTGGGTGTGTCGAGGCAAAGTACTGGCTGCAGCCGGCCCTGGGGCTTGGAGAGCTGAGCCCCGTCCACGTTAAATGTGCGTGCCTGTTTGCTTCCCCCCACCCCCAATATACGTTTTGCTTTCTGGAGTTGATTGCTGCTAACTGCCAGATGACAGGTTTAAATTTAATTCACATTGTAATGAGAAAACGAAACCCAGTGCTTAGACTTTCACATGTGTATCTGGAATTTTCCATGAGATGCTCACTGATAAATATGCTTGTTGCTTGACTGTTCTGTTGAAAGGCTTATCAGATTAGACTAGTTGGACAGAGCTGCCGTGTTAATAAAGCTTGTAGATTAATTTTTATCTCGATGCTGCTGCATTAAGACCGGGATGTGTTCCTGTTTCTTTTTTTTTTTTTTCATAATGTGGGATATGTGTCTGTTAAATCCAGTACACGTTCATAATATGTTACAAAGGCCATAGCTTCTTCTTGTACTTCACTTGACATCTCTCTGCATAATCCCTCCCTCTCCCCGGCCTTTCAGATATGCTAACTACAGGGCAGAGTAGTAAGACAAGCAACCTTCCACACAGTATGGCTCCTTCATTCTGTTATTTTATATCCCAACTGGATCCTGACTCTACATAAATTTTGGTACTTTCACATAATTTTTTTCAAGTCTTTTGTCCTCCTGGTACTAAGAACAGATACGATTCAATATATATAGTTAACAAGTATTCATTTCACTGTTTTACCCTTGTGAGTTTCACTTGGTGTATTTCATTTTATTATTTTGAGGCAGCATCTGAGTTTCCCAGGCTAGCCTCTAACTAGCAGTTTTCCTGGCTTAGCCTCTAGGATTATAAGCTGCCACCATGCCAGTCTATATTTTGCAATTCATTGGGGATATGTAACTTCCTTCACTTTGATACTAAAATTCTCCAAACAAAAAGGCCATATTTTTGGCATTATGTCTTCAGTTCCTGATTAAAATAATAAACTGTGTTCAACACACTTACTTTTAGGAGGTTCTTAATAAGTTCCTGTCGAAACAAAAATAGTGTGTAGAAAAGATGATGAAATTTGTAGGATGGAAGTAGGTGTTTGAGCTGTAAAAACACATTCAAAAATTAAGTAGTATGACAGAGTCACAAGACGTGTGACCAAGTAGGCTGCTCTTTAGAGTTCAAATTTATAGTCTTCTGCACTATGTTACAACTTTATCAAATCTTTGAAAACTATTTTCAGAGAATTTTGACCATTTATTGAACCTAAACTTATGACTTAATTTTAGTCTCTTCACATATCCACCAGAGAGAACTCAAAACACCTTCCAAATATATTTTTAGAGATGTATCCTTGAAAAATAATTTTTAAACCTTCCCATTTTGCTTGGTGAGTGGGGTGCTCCAGTATTTGACTGTAGCAGGCTTATACTAAAAACCAGTGTTCATTAACATGATTGAAACAGTATTATTCAATATTTTGAAATATATTTTGCCTGTATGCAGCTAATGATCAAAGTACACTGAATTTGAAGGACTTGTTATAATAGTAGTTACTACATTTGGAATAATAAATATGTCCAGAACTGTTTCAGTTGTTGTAAACTTCTTAATGATATTTTTGTATTTTGACTTGCTGTTTTGTATGGTCCTATGGAGCAAACACTTTATATTGTTTTGTATTAAAGTATTATTTGAAAGTGAAACATTTGACTGATAATTATAAAAGTATAAAGCAGTTGAACTACATTGTTACTCTAAAATGTTTATTGACCCAGATTGTGACAAGGCTCAGAAGTATATGACCCTATTGTGACAAAATGTAACAATAGTAGGATACCGGAATAAGACTATACTGTCAGGTTGTCACTTTCACCAAATATATTACATGGTTTTGTGTAACAAGTAAACATTGTATATAACCTGTGTGTGGTGTAGTGGCATTTTATTGCTGCCACTAGAACATCGCTGTAATTTTAAGCATAGATGCTAAATACACTTGAAAGACATCGTGCAAGCTGATTATTTGAAAATTCTCAGTATCTGCACCTTTTAAACTTGATCTAGTGTTATTTTTGTTCTTACAATTTGATTTTACTGTTAGATTTTGATACACTTTTCCCCAGTTCACTACGTTTAAATTTCTCAGGTTCTTAGACTTCGTACCCAGGTTCTCAACCTTGGCCCCTCAGGACTTTTCTGTTATTGTTCAAGGACACAATATGAAAATAACACACTTACATTTCAGAAAAGGGAGGGCCTTGGTTAGACAGATACTCCATTTCTCTTCTTCCAGGAATTTCAAAGAAGAGATTTTAACAGATAAATTATGCCAAACCTGGGAGGTGCTTGAGAAAACAGAGACTTCACAGATTTGGTGGCTTAACTTCTGTTCCAAATTCAAATCTTGGCAGTCAAATCAACAGACAGATCAGTGGCAGATAGGAATTTGGGGTAAATAAGAGTCCAAGATTTCTGGAAGAAGCTTGGTTGAGTAGCTACCCTTTCAGCTTGGATTTCAGTCAGTAAACTGGTGGGCTTGTTTCCTTTATCTTACTCTATAGTGTGGGATAATATGCATTGAATTAGGACTATATATTTTGATTCTGTTTGCTCAGCCAGTACTTGTCATATTTATGTGCATGAGGATGTTTCTTCTCATAGAGAAAGAACAGCGTATTAGCAGATGAAATAACTGCAATTTCATTGGTGCTATGGCATTATGTAGTTAAGGAGCTTGATGCTGTCCTTCTCATCTCTGGGAGGCAGAGGCAGGAGGATCACAAGTTAAAGCCCAGTCTGGGCAATTTAGTGACTTAGGGAACCCTATCTCAACAGAAAAAAAAGGGCTAGGAATGTAGCTCAGTGGGAAAAGACCTGATCTTGATCTCCACTACCACTACCAAAAGAAAAAAGTTAAGGGTATCACTATGAACTAAAATAAAAAGATAGAAACTGACTTACATGAGTTAAAACATCAGTGGCAGAAGCCCTTTTCATTACATTTTTAAAATCAAGATAGGAAAGTCTTGGTAGTTAATCACAAGATGATCTTAAATTTCCTTGTGTATTTTTAATTATTAATCTTTTGGTTTTAAGAAAAAATGCTTGTTCATCCATCCATTCATTCATTTAGAGGCCCTGAGGCCCCAGCTCAGGGCCAAGCATATCCTGAGATACACTCCCAGCCCTAAGAGTCTTATTTTTAAAAGTTAAAGTCTTAATGAAATAGGTATTCAAAATATCAAACTTGCAAAGTATTTTCAACCTCCTAACATGTATTCTTACATGTAAATGAATTACTTAGCCAGTGTTAGAAATAAGCTTACGTATACTTCAAGAGGCCTGCAAATAAAATCTTGAGTTTGTTAATTGACTTCAAAAGTATGTTTGGTGATTTTCTTCTCACTGAGGATGACTATTCCATCCCCTTTTCGCTTCTTTTCATAATGGTTAAAATGTTTCCTGATCCACATTATTTATCTGAACAATAGTCTAGCGAAATACTGAGAAAAGATATTTCCATCTTAAGTAGGAATTGTTAGTGTGGAATCTGCTTCTATTTTATTTATTTATTTATTTTTTGGTACTGGGAATCAAACTCGGGACCTTGTGCTTGCCTGTCAGGCACTTGTACTGCTAAGCTATATCCCTGGCTGCTTTGATTTTTAAAGTTGGATTAAATTACTAATGGATTACCATATTCAATAGGGTAAAAGCCAGCTTTCAAGGAATATATCATGTTAAATATCTATTGTGAAAAAAATTCCTATTGTGATGAGTTGTTTTAGCTTTGTAGTTATTACTTGTGGTGGGATGGTTACAGATCAGTTTCGGCTTTAAAATGCCATGCATCGAGAACCTTGGTGTATCAAGTAAAGTGTATCAAAATCAGAGAGTATCTTGAGGAAATACTGTGAGAGCTTGTCGAGTTAGGAGAAAGGGATTTTGCTGCTACGTGTGTGTTACATGTACGCGTGAACTTATTTTCACATCATGTACAGAGAAACAAGCATGTAAAAGCTTTAAATTAGTAAGTTATAGCTTCCTCCCCACAACCAACCTTCATTTGAATCCAGTGAATTTATATGATAGAGCTCATTTGCAAAGAAAAATTGCCTTTTTCATAAGAGGAAAGCTGCTAAGATTAATTTGGTTGATAAAAGTCAAGTAATACATCTCATTTGAAGTAATGTTCACATTTCCCAAACATCAGAATTTTTATAATTTTAAGTATTTGAGCAGTGTTTTACTGAATTATCAGGAACAGATACTTGTTTGGATCATTCTTACAGAAAATAGCCTTCCTACCTTAGTCAGATTTTTTTTATTGTTTGTTTTTTGTTTTGTCTTTTTGAGACAGGGTCTCGCTATGCAGTTCAGGCTGGCTGTGAGCTCACTTTGTAGCCCAGGATGGCCTTGAACTCGCAACGATCCTCCTGCCTCAGTCAAATTTGTGTAATGCTTTGCTATAGCTAGTTCAGTGGTGCTGAACCTGTGGCATGTGTGTTACTGTGTTTTTCTTTTAAGACAAAAGATAGAAATGTGTGAGTTGTTTTTTCTAAACTAAAAGCTCAGTGTTTGAGTTGAGTAGCCGTGCTGGCACTTTTTGGTAAATTGGTTTTTGGGTTTTAGTTGGGGCATTCAGTCTCCAAAAGGTTCGCCGTCCCTGAGCTAGTTCATCAATGCGAAGTATACTTTCTGTTTATCATTGTTGCTGTGATCACCATTTACTAAAGAACAATAAACTGTAGTGATTTTTCTAATCTGACAATAATTTCCAGAATGGCCAGTGTAGCTCTTATAAGCACCTGAGACAGACAGCTATCCTAGATATCACCTCATTTAATCAGGAAGTGTTTCATCACCCCACTGTGAATGTTACAAAATCCTTTAACTTTTCCAATGGAGCATTCCTAACAAATGTAATGAGTTAAGGAAATAGATTACGAAAGGTGGCTAACTTTTTCTAGTACCAGCCCAGACACTACAATATCTGTGGTTTAGTTCATCTTCTTAAACATAAAGTGGCCAGTAGGAAATTAAATATTTATCTTTCCAAAAAAGGGAAAGTAGGGAAGTGAGAGGAAGTGTAAAATGTGGTGTAAAATGTTCAAAGTGAATCAAAAGAGTTAGTGGTAGTCTGCGTCTGCTACCAACTGTGAAATTAAACATCTAACCAGGTCCAAAAGCAGCTTTGATGATTACTGTCATCATATATGTTCGCGCTCATGTTAATCCTTTTGTCTGAATAGTGCTAGAAGTTACCCTCTTCAGCCCAGTATGCTTAGAATGCTATAAAGAAGGAACTTGTCCAGGTGTGAAATTAAAATATGTATCATATTCTAATAAAGCCATCTAAACATAAGATTTACAAATCTACTTCATTTCTTTCTCTAATGATTTGAAATGTTCTACGTATTGTTTTAAAATTGATTTCAAGTCTTACCATAAATTAGCATAAGCTAGACATTTCATTTTATTCCATATATATATATGTATGTATGTTACCAGATTTCAAGGTATCTGAGACATAACATTTATGTGTATTTACAAAGTTTAGAAGGCACTCAGAGGAATTTTTCATATTTTTTTCTACGTGATATTTGCCACTACAAAACTTTTTGGGGGAAACCTCTTTATCGCTCTTCTTAATGTTTTTTATATAGTTTTGTGCACACCCATACAGACACACACTAGCCGCATTGTATGCTGTTGCTGAATTTTGAGTAGTTTCTTTTGAAATTACATCTTAAATGCATTTTTATTCAATTGTTGACATGCCTTTTTAAATTTTATTTTATTATTTTTATTATTATTATTATTTTTTTGTGTGTGTGGCCCAGGCTGGTCTCAAACTCGCAATGATCCTCCTGTCTCAGCCTCCCCAGTGCTGGGATTACAGGCATGCGCCACCATGCCCAGCTCCTTTTTGTTTGAAATGGCAAAAATATCATTAATTTTAAATTCTAAATCTATTTAGAGTATGTTCAGACCTAGTGTATATTATTTCTAATTTTTAAAGAAAAAATGTAATTATCACTTCTTTTGCCTAAGGCATAAAAGTTTGAGAATAAATATTAAAGTGGAATTTCTATTGTAATAGCGTTTTTTTCTGTGTTGTGCTTGTAAAGTCACTGTGCCCAAGTAGGTCTTGGCTATTGAGTTAATTTACTACTAACAAGTGCTAAATATAACTTTTGCATGGTTTAACCACAGTTATGTTGAATGCTGCATGGTTCTGTCACAGGAGAAAGGATAGTACAGTATATTATGAAAGTAATGGTAATGTGTAGTATGTAATTACATATAATATGTAATTATTTCATAATAGCACCTTGAACAAAGTATAGAAAAGGTAATTAGAATGTTATTTGCAACTGCAGTTTTAAAGTTATAGAAATACTTGTTCTTGATAAAGCCTAACTTTGATGTAAAAGGTAGATTAATTTTCTTTTTGGTTTTGTTTTATTTCCAGGTGGAGGGTTAGCCGTTGGAACAGTTCTTTTGATTGGTTAGTACAAAATATATATTTTCTCTTTCCAATTAGTTTCCTGTTGTTCATTATGATTTTGAGTTTTTCTGTTCTGAAACCAAATATTAGCTGCCTAGAAAGTTCATGTTAGAAAGTTCATGTTATCTCTGTTTCATTCAAGAAGAAATGAAATCAGAAGGGTGAAGTAATTTGCCCAGTATTGCCCAGTCAGAAAACCAGGACTTAGGGCTGGGGATTTAGCAAAAGCGCTTGCCTGGCAAGCGCAAGGTCGTGAGTTCGGTTCCTGGTACCTGAGAAACACCCCCCCCAAAAAAAAAAAAAAGAAAACCAGGACTACCAGGACTTGAAATGTGTTGTGATTCCAAATCCAGCCACAAGCAGTAAAATAAGAGTTGTAACCCTTTTAAAATGGTGAAGTTTTAAATAGTAAAATAGAGCAAATACATGTGGGGTTTTGTTTTGTTTTGTTTTGTTGCAGTTCTGGGGATTTATCCCAGGGTCTTGTGCATGCTAGCTGGTCACTCTGCCACTGAGCTATGTCCTCAGTCGTTTTTAACACTTAGTTTTTCAGACAAGTTGTTGCCGAATTGCTCTGGCTGGTCTCAAAATAGTGAATCTCTTGTCTGAGCTGCCCTAATAGCTGGAATTACAAGTGTACAGCACCATGCCAGGTGATCTGTAGGTTTTTTGTTTGGTTTTTTTTTTGTCTTTTTGAGACAGGGTCTCACCATGCAGTTCAGGCTGGCCTTGAGCTCACTTTGTAGCCCAGGCTAGTCTTGAATTTGCAATAGTCCTCCTGTCTCAGCCTCCCAAGTGCTGGGGTTACAGGTGCCTGGCAGTGTATTTATTTTTTGTAATCATGCCACTTAATCATTTTAGTCCTTCTCTCAGCACAGCCATTAACTTTGGTATGCCTCTGGAATACCTACTATTACCTCATCTCACCCTTGAAAACACTGTGTATTATCCAAACTGTATTACTGATCATATAAATAGGTTAGATTAGGTTGGCTGAGCAGATTAGGAGTCATTCTCTGTTTGGAGGTCAGTATGACTTGTACAGTGAATAAACTTTGCCTCAGGAAATGTAGCAGTTCTAAAGTATGAACAAATACAGGTGTTGAGGGCCAGTGGCTTGGTGCCTGCATCATTACTGTATTGCTTAGCATCGAGAGATAATTTTTTATTCTAGAAGTAAGAGAAAATGGAAGTGTGAAAATTATGTGCACTAGTAATTTTTCACTACAGATCGCCAGCATTTTAACCATTTGCTCGAGAAGTAGATGGTTCATTTACCGAGGCAGTTGTGTGTGCGGGTGAGTGTGGCCTTTCCGAGTAGTGTGTTTACAGTTGCGGGAGAGATGGGGCTGTGTAAGCTGCAGGGAGTCTGCTTCAGCCCGGCCGCTGCAGAAGAAATGAGTGTGGATGTGGAAGGGCCATTCTTGGAGGGAAAGTCCTTAGAGGACAGATTTTCATTAAAACGCGTTTACTTTTTCAGGGCTGTAGTGGGCTTTGAGATGTTTTCTGCTGAAGCTGCTTTTTTTGTTGGTAGTGGCTCTAGGGACTGAGCCCAGGCCTTCACCGTGAGGTACATCCCCAGCCTTTTGTTTTGACAGCATCTTGCTAAATTGCTAGGCTGGGCTGGGTTTGGGATCTTCTGCCTGAGCTTCCCTGTGCTGGGAGTGCAGCACATCGTCTGGCTTTGAAATCACTTTTTGGTAAATTCGTGTGGAAGTGAAGTGATAGCAAATACCAGGTCTTTACCTGTTCATAGAGATACCATGAAACAGGTTTAACAGAAGTTGTCAGGAATTACAATACAAGTTCTGTGACATTCTCAGTAATCTCTTGTATTAGTTACATGTTTTTCCTTCTACAAATAGCAGATAACTGACGCACTGTCGGGCAGTTAGTTACAGCTACAGATGCCGCTGACTTCACCGAGGGACCCCGCAGGAGTCAGACCAGCGATGCCGAGGCCCGTCCAGCGCTGTGCTCTGTCGTGTTTGTCCCGTGCTCACGTGAGAGCATGAACGCAGTCTGGGAGCTCACGGTGGCCTCTTCCCCTTTCTGTGGGTCAGCGGTGCAGGTACCACCGGCAAGCCCCTTCCTAAGCCCGCAGCGAGATGCCAGCCAGGCCAGGGTCCCTGTTCGTTGGTTTGTAGATTCAGTCGAACCAGGGTTTGCTGCGTGTCCCTGGCTGGCCGGGCGCTTGCAGCCCTTCCGTCTCAGCCTCCTGAGGGCTGGGATTCCAGGCCCTGCCCTGTGGCTTTTCCTCTGCAGCCTCCCCTCTGGGCCGGCAGCTCAGGAAGGCTTTGTACCTGTCGGCCAGACTGGCCGCTCCCGGGCCTGCTCACGGTGGCTTCGTCCTCACCGCCGAGGAGGTCCACGAGGGCCTAGGGAACGGGGTGGCACTGTCCCCCTGCCCTTTCTCCTGCTCAGGAGGGAGTCCCTGCCCCATGACCCTCAGGGAAGGGGTTGGAACACACGGAGACGGTAACCTCAGGATCCCTGAAGAATGCACCATGCACTCGTCACCGCTTTCTTCTGTGCAGGCTTCTCTCGCAGGGTATTCTAGTGTTTTCTTGTCAGTTGTCCTCAACGTATTTTGTTGCGCTCTGCTGCTCTCTTCCACATCACGCAGTGCACTTGGAGCATTTTCCTTCTTACGCAGGAGTCAGCTGCCTCGGCCGGCTGGCCCATCTCTAATAACATCCGTGTTCTGATTGGCACAGGGTCTGTGGGACGAGTACAGGTGTGGCACAGAGACTGCACGACCTAAAATACTTACTTTCTGGCATTTCTAGAAAAGATCTGCTGGTCTGATTTGAGTTAGTGTTTTATACTCTTCTCCTCATGTGGTAGAGCTGCACAGCGCCGCCCCCGCCCCCATCCGCCCCGCCATTCCCCAGGGAAACAGCCGGGCCTGTAGTTTGCTGCACTTCAGTTTCGATGGTGCGTTTGGCAGTGTCAGGCTGTAGAAATCTTGGCTTTTCCCTCTGTGAATTACGCTGGATGCTGGTCGCACATGAATAACTACTTACAGTGCCTGTGTAATATGCAGAGTTTCAGGCAGACGTAAGAACTTTGGAAAAGATGTAAATGGAGGCAGAGGCGGAGCCGAGCTGGGAGGCGGTGAAGGAGAAGCGTCCCGGCCCTCATGGGAAGGGTGTCACTGGGTGGCAGGGCATCCCACCTGAGGGGAAGGGACAAGCTCAGCACAGATCGGAGAGCTCAGCCGCCCTCCTGCGAGCTCAGCCGCAGCCGCCGCCTTGTGGAGTTCGTACCCTGCAACTCCACGGCCTTGTACTGGCAGGAGCCAGTGTGCAGAGACCTGGCGTTGATTTTCACCCACCAGAGACCTCCCAGGATTTCTGTTGGTTTAAACTTTAGAGCCCGCTAAATCCATCCTGTGGCACCTCCTTGCCATCTTTGATCATTGTCTCAGAATTAAGCTCTTCCAAAGCTCTTATCGCCATAATACTTTTATCTCCACCATACTGTGTTTTTCTCTTTAGATTCAATATCTGCTGTTTGCTTCGCTTCTCAGCCTTTGCAGTTTGCCATCTGTGACACCTATTTCAAGTAGAGACCAACCCTGATATCCTAAAGTCTTATCATGGTTTTATTGAAATAGTTATTTATCGATGATTTTGGTGTGCCAGGCACCATGCTAAGCCCTAGTCATGTGCTTTACTGTTCAATTTTACAATAGTTGTCTACATTTAATAGGTGATAACATTGAATTTTTTTAAAATTTAATTATGCTTTTTAGGACAGAGTCTTGCTAAGTTGCCCAGGCTGAGCTTGAACTTGGGATCCTCCTGCCTCAGTCTCCCAAAGTGCTGGGATTATGTGTGTGTGCCATCATGCTTGGCTATAATTGAAGTTTTAAAAGAAGCTAAATAACTTGCCCGACACCAAACAGATTAATGGGTGAGATTCACTATCAGATTTCTTTGAGAGAAAGTCATTTTATATAAAAACCTAGTAAGTCATTTTAAAAATCCCTTCTGCGGTGAGCTGTGCCTTTGGACACTGTACCTTCACATTTCTGCCACATCCCAACTGCTTAATTATGTCCCTTTGTTATTAGAGACTGGCATGACCTATAAGCTCAGGTAGGCCTTTAACTGGCAGAAAACTCTTACATAGTTCTAGATAGCTCCTTTTGATTCTCAGTGATCTCAGTGGCCTTTTAAACTTTCATGCCCTCAAACATCAGTCGTTATTGCCTGTTCCTTAGTTCTCTGTGATGATTTCCAATATTTCACACACACACACAAATGTTTTTCATCAGATGAGAATGCCAAGCATCCCTGAAAGCTTTCTTATATTCACAAATAAATTACATTGTATCTTCTGTTGGAGAATCACCCTTTCCCTTTTTCCGTAGTCTTACATTAGTCAGCTTTCCACTGCTGAGAAAAAATACCTGACACTAGCAACCTAAAGGAGGAAGGATTTATCTTGGCTCAGGGCTCAGAGGCTTGGGGCCTTGGTCGGCTGCTCCAAGGCAGGAGCATCAATGGCTGGGGGGCCTGGCGTGGAAAGCTGCTCACCTCGTGGCAGCCTGCAGAGGAGGAACAGAGGGAGGGCCTGGGGACAGGCTGTACCCTTGGAAGGCACACCAGGAGTGAGCCACTTCCTCCAGGAGTGCATTAGGGTGTGAGCTCGGCAGGGGGTTCACGAGGAGGTCTGCACCCCCTGGTCCACACACCTTCCAAAAGCCCCACCTTGGACACTGACATTTGACATGGGTGACACTGTAGATCCAAACCGTAGTGGGTCCTGTCTCCTTCCACCTTTGCAAGGGTCTGTCGCTAGTAAGTTCTCTTCTCTCCTTGTCTTAATCTTTTCCTCTTTACTAGCTCTTACCTGTGTGGACTGCAGACACGCTCCGATCTTTCGCTTGGCGATAGTGGCGCAGTCCTGTAATCCCACGGTATTTGGGGGTCTGAGCCAGGAAGGTCTCAGGTTCAAGGCTGGCCTTCATTCGTTAGCAAATTTAAGGCCCG